AATTTACTTAAGACATTTAAGCTAATATCTGCAACCATGTTTTTTTTGTTTATAGAGTATTTTTAGCGCCTTTCAGATTAATTTGGAACAGGCTTAGTAAGTAATTTAAAAAAAATGAAAGTTATACAAATTATCTTATTAACTTTTTGTTTCAATATTATGGAAATAAATAAATGAGTCAAATAAATGATAGATCATTGGTGATTTCTTAGTAAGGGATAAAACGCTAATATATAAAAGTCGTTTCATCATTATATTATGCTACTTGTATTTTATTTTTATTTATTTTTATTTACTTTGAGTTGCGTTACCTATGTTACATGTTATGTACCCTGTTTGTATCTTGCATTTTCCATTGTTTGCTTCCTTTGTACGTAGGGTATGCGGGTATGCATGTACCTCTTAACTCCTTTCAATGAAAATCTTAGCCCCTTATATATAAAAGCTCCGTTGCCCCATCTTTTTTTTTCTCTTTGACAATTTTTTTGTTGTCCTTTTTTCTCCCAAGATCCGAATTAATGTGTCTCTAACATAACATTGACTAAAAATCTTCGTAAAATTTCTTTTATTAACCGTTATTATCATATTTGCGATCCCCTTTGATATTAAATAAGTTTTTTCTGTCTGTGTGATTATTTGTTTTTTGTTTTTTTTGTTGACTCAAAAGAAGTTGAATCTTCTATTCACACCCTCTTTGAATTTTTTATTTTTATTTTTATTTTTTTTTATAACTTAAATATTCAAAATTCTTAACTTTATTATACAAATCGGGTGTTCTAGTTGTAAGATAAATGTATATATAAAAAAAAAATTGTTTTCCCTTTAACAATTTTTTTTTTTTCATTATTTGTCGGTTCTTTTAAAATATTCTTTAAAAAATATTCGTTGGTTGATCATCCATCATACTTACCGCAGTTTTCGGTAGTACATATATAGTGAATTCTTTGGACTATTTATTTTTATATATATATATATATATATATTAGAAATGTCTTCGTTAACGGGTTGCTATTTTGATCCTTCTGAACGAGTTGGTAAACTCATCGATAATGGGTTGTTAGAGATAACTCATATTCTCGGTGTAGGAGCATATGGGGTGGTTTATTCAGCAAAAAATGTAATTAATGAACGAGTTTATGCTGTAAAATGTATGCCAAAAATCGATGCACGACAGCATGGATTACATATTACAGAGATTAGTCTTCATGCTCAACTTACCGGTCATCCAAATATTATTAGTTTAGAAAAAATTATTGATACTGAAGATTCTTTAAATGTTGTTCTTGAATATTCTAATGAAGGAGATTTATTCACAATGATCACGGAAAAAGGTTCATATCTTGGAAATGACGATCTTATAAAACAAGTTTTTGTTCAATTATTGGATGCTGTTCAGTTTTCACATTATAATGGAATTTATCATCGTGATTTAAAACCAGAAAATATTCTTGTTTTTGATGATGGAATGACTGTAAAACTTGCTGATTTTGGTTTGGCAACAACAGATGCTCGATCAAAAGACTTTTGTTGTGGGTCAACTTTTTATATGAGTCCAGGTAAATTATTAAGATCTTACTTAAAATCTATATTTTAATTTATATTTTAATCTTTTGTGATGTCTTTAAATTTAACAAATTTATAGAATGTCAAGGAGGGCTTTACGAGAGAGTATCAAGTTATGCAACAGCTCCCAATGATGTCTGGTCATTGGGTATTATTCTAATTAATCTTGTTTGCGGTCGTAATCCATGGCAACAAGCTTCTCTTAGTGACGAAACATTTTCTGCATATATCCAAAATCCTGAGTTTTTAAAGACTATTCTCCCAATTTCTGATGAACTTAATGAAATTTTAAATGATGTTTTTGAACTCGATCCTGAAAAGCGTATATCGTTGAGTGAATTTAAAGAACGTGTTCTGGAATGTGATGATTTTCTCATGCCGGAATATGCAACGTTCTGTAAAATGCTCGTTGAACAAGAAGAAATTGATATATCACCAGAAATACCTGAAATTTCACATGAAATGTGTAGTCAATCTTCCACGTCTTCAGCATGTTCATGGCATTCCATGAATTCGGAAATGGATTTCTCTGTTCCTCCAGCTGAATTTTTAGATGATTACGATAATTGTTCTGAACCAACAAATTCCACCCTTCTATCAACATTAGCTACCAATCAACCTGACATGATTAAATGTTTCGATAATGACCCAATAATTAGTTTGAAATGTGGTAGTCTTATAATGGAAAACCATCTCTTTCGAACTAATTACATATTTTAAATGAACCAACAATTGTCAATTTATCTGAGGTTATAATCTTCTTTATACTTTAAATTTTATTGACTAACTCCTATTTAATTATAATGTTTTGCGAAGAGAAAAAAAAAAAATGAAAAAAAAATTTAGTTTAGTTTAAACACCAAAAAAGAAAGAAAGAAATCGGTGCATTACGTACCAATGCTCTCTTTATCTGTTATATTTTTTTTTACTGATATTATGTTATTATATTTTATTTCAAAGATGTAAATATTTTTTCTACCTCATTTATTATTTAGGACAAAAAAAAAAAAGGGGTAACATGAGAAAAAAAAAAAAAAAAAAAAAAGCCAAAAAAAAAAAATTGTACATAGAGAGTTTTGGGATTATTCTTTATTTTGGTGGTTAAAAGATTAACAAAAAATAAAAAAATTTTACTTACTGGTTAGGTAACAAAAAAAAAAAATTGCGATGTTACTTTTACCAAATTGTTTAATGATAAATGTATTATTTTTTAGTTCTTATTTCATATTATAATAAAAAAATTGATCTTGCGGTTCATAATTATAAATAACATATTGATATGAATAGATTTATTAAGTGAATAAGTATCTGAATAACGGTATGGGCACGTGCCGCAAAGCGGCACGTCATTTGTCAAATTACCGTTGTTATGACCGGTGGGAGAGCTTTTTAAAGAAAAAGAAAAAAAGTTCCAGGCATATCGACAATTTGCCAGTGTGAGCCCCGGAATCCAAACCACCTACTGCGGCTCAGTATGGCCCAAGATCACGGGTCAAGTGCATTTATTGCATTTACCGCATTTACATTTAGATAAATTAGGTTTAAGGCATTTATGCCATTTATTGTAAATAAAGGTCGTGAAGGCCCTTGATAACTAAGTTTCGTGATGCTTATAATTATCGTTCCTAATAAAGTACACATTTGACCCATATAACCTTTAAGTACCTGAATAAATACATACGTCTTAATAAAAATACTCAATACCCAGATCTATCACTAAGTGCATAGTGAAAGGTCTTCGTTCGCGCAATTGCCTTGCTCACGTGACTTCGTAGAAGATTGCTGTCCGGCTGATCCTCGACGTACTGAGATCTGCCGTGGTTGTTGTTTCCAACTCTCTCAACGTACCGTGGACAGCTGTGGTTATTGTGTTCCGGTTTGAAGTCCAAGAGGAAGGACCAAGCCGTGGTTTGTTGAATTTGATAGAAAGAAGAACCGTTATTGCGTAATATTTGGGTTCCAGATAAGTAAAAGAAGCCATACCTACGACCACTCGCCAAATATAACCGCCTCTTTCGATTAAGCCCTTTCGTGGGTTACACGACGCCTTGGGTACTGACTCGCTGTTTAAGGTGTCATCAGTACCGGCAATTTATGATTATCGGCTGAGTTTTAATTTATGAGTTTGCCGAATAACAAACTATAAGATCTATATATAAACAATTAGCCTGACAATGACAAACAAATAGGCTTTATATTGTAAATTTGACGAGATGTTTTAGTTTTTTATAGGTTTTCAAAAGTTCTGAACATTTTTACTTAGAATATTCGATCCCATTTATATAGTACATTTTTGAGATATACCGGTGATGATCACCAGTAGCAAACTTCTAAGGTACTTGTTATTTTAAAAATCGTAATATGAAATATAGTGTCATAATGGCTAATTTCGAAATATCATGCTTATCATTTATCTGGCTCAGCTCTTGAAAAATATAGTCACTGAAACTTAGAAAAACTAACATCGCTGATAAGAAATTTTTTCTAGTACCCATAT